GAGAAGTGAGGTGTGCATTCAAAACAGCTTTGTATTTGGAAAGAGTACAAATACAAATACAAATATAAATACAAATATAAATACATACAAGCTAATACAAAATATAAGGTTTTGCACTCTATATATTTGTATTTGTACTCCTTCCCAAAGTATTAGCAGTGCGGGGGATGGTATTCAAAGTAAAACAGCTTTTGAGACTTCAACTTATAACTTAACTCCTCAGTAGACATGCATGATATTCAAACTTACCTTTTTTTAGTAGATTCATTATAAACTTTATACGTATATAAACGTATTTAAATATTATTAGATCGTATCATATTAGATTAGATAGGGGTAGATCCATATTCGATCCAATTTTAAATAGACCAAATTCAGATCAATCTTTGCCCAACTGGAATCAAATTCGAATTCAGACAAATACGATTGCGTTGAAGCCTTATATATTGCCTTTTCCAAATGCTAATACTAACTAGTTTACTTATTAAGCTTTTAATTTCTGCTATGCACAAGATGTTGGTTATTTTTACTTTTTAGTGCTAATCACACTACAGTCGCATGGTAATGGCTCCCCACAAAGTAAGCTTCACATGCACCCCACAGTACATCTGAACTGTGAATAGTGAACATTTTCCCCATGATGTGCTGTGGCCTGTGGGGGGCCAACCTGGACTCAGTTGCTCCCATAAGTGACAACGTATTGGGCCCAACCTAGTAAGAAGTTGATAGGCCTAAAGGAGCGAGATGATCTTGGCAGCACAGTATAGTAGGTCCAATATTCAAGCCCAGCCCATCTCGATTGGTTAAATGGGCGTTTGCCTAGGAAATCAATCATTCAAAGTGGTAGAATTTCAAATTTTACATGAACCTAAAGAAAATCATTTTACTGGACGTCACAGCAAGCAGAACATGGTCAAATGGTTGTGTCACCATCCGCAATGGCCCATGGGCCCTCGTTTAGGCTTAGGGACTCAAGGGTCCCGGTCCATGTATACCATCCTATATAAGAACAATGTGGAAAGGAAATCAACAACTAACCGTCTTTCACAGCAGTGAGAGCAGTCGTACTTCTGATAGCATAACAAGGCATAAGCCACGCACCGGCAGTTTGGAGGCTGAAGCATTGCTTCAGTTACTTTCACTGAGCTGCTTTTAGACAAATCTGTAAAAGAAGCTTCAGTGAAAGAGAAATCATGTTTCTGTCTGTTGTTGGATGGGCCCCATCCCGCAAAGCCATAAGCCGGTGCGTGAAAGCCCACTGACTCTGAGTATGGCCGACAGCCGGTGGCCCTTGGAATTACAATAGCTCCTAATTAACTTTGGTCAAAGGTAGTTTAGAAATTGAAGGGTCAAAGGGGAGCTGCACCTCAGAAGTCAGAAAGCGAAAACTTTGGCAAGAGAAGGAGAAAGATAACTCCATTCAACATGACACCTAATTAAATATGTCTCTGTTTCTATCTAAAATAAATATTAGAGGTGTTAGACATTTAGGTTTTGTCCTTATTGGTGCTAGCCAAACTAACTGACAATTGCTAGTATTCCAACTTATAGAATCAAACAAAAAGGAGGGGTCAATTATTCCGGATCTCCTACACTTTTTCTTTTTCTACACACCAGTCTATGATAGGCGCTATTTATATAGGAGGAATACACATGCAAAATGAGGAGGTTGACTCCTAAAGACTCTTTTTGAACATGACTATGCTTTATCAGAACTGGTTAAGTAGCTTGTCAAATGGACTTTCAAAAAGTGAGCAGTGACTCTTGTTTGGAAAAGTTGCTCTTAATTAGGATTCTATGGGTCCTATGGAACTCTACTATAGAAATCGAAGTTAAGATATATTTGATAATATTATACCAGTTTTCTATATGGGTCCGGGGTAGTGAAATCAGTTAACACCTATATCTAATCTCCCATGTATGCCTATGCCTATGCCTGGTTCAACTCACAACATGTTGCAAATCAGTCACATTATTCAGTTTTCACTTTACACTTGATGGAGCTTGTATGTATAAGGTTCAAAAAGAATCTGCAACGTATGTATTAATTCAAAATGAAGACTGTGTATTGATGATATCAAGATATAGGATCAAGGCAAATCAACCATGCATGAGAAAACAAAGTGGGAGCCAATTATTTTGAAGCAAAGGCTCAGTTTGGAAAGAGTATAAGTAATAATATGTACAGTGCAAATACATACAAAATACAAGGCTTTGCATTTTCGTAATTGCATTAGGCTGAGTTCGGAAAGAGTACAAATGCAAACATGTAGAGTACAAAACCTTATATTTCGTATGTATTTATGCTATACATATATTGCCCTGAATTTTCAAAAACAACTTGTACATGCTTTGTTGGCCAGCCCCACATAACATACAAAAATATCACTGTTACTGCACCATTTAGAGTCTTTAATATCTTACTCCAAATACTTTCATAATACCATTATTACCCCTGATTCTTTGACAAAAAAACCAAAACCTAAAACCCAGAACCAATTGACTTCCTGAGCTACTGTAACGGCCAAGTCATGAGAGGGAAACTCAGTGGTTTGTAAACCAAAACTGTTCAATTTCGATTTCAGATGAACAAGAAACCCCCCCAAAAAATGATGATATGAGATGAACGAGAAAAAAGTCAAAAACTATTGAAATGATCAGCAAATTAAGTTCTTCAAGTAGCTAGGTTGGTTTTGGCATTTCTGCTGCCCCATCCAATCCGTCTCTATCAGCTAAAAGGCTATGTTTAGTTCCATAGGTGTTTTTTGGAAAAACGTATCCACATCAACCCCATATAGGTGTTGGCCTTTATTGTGTATAAAATCACTGTTTGGTTTTAATGTTTATCAAATAAATACTTAAAAACAGAAATATTTTGATTTATGTGCATGAAGAGTTGGGGGGAACAAGAATTGAAACACACTGCTTATGTGGCACATTTTAAGCTGAGGTGGAGAGTAACTTTATGGGGTGTTACTTGAAACACTCATAAAACACTCAACCAAACAACAAAAGTAATAAACATTTAAAGCAACGCTTTTCAAATAAATGTTTATCTGATAAACACCTCATCAATAAATGCCCACGTCATTGGATTGCTTATAATTTTAATTCTAAGTAATTTTACCTAATCATAATGGAGTTCCAGGAAGAAGAGGAAAGGAAGTGAAACCTAGGAGCTTGTTCAGATCTACAAGCGATTTTACCATCTAATTGCAAATCACCGCCATCGGTGTCGGTCATTGGCTCACATTTATCATTGGAGAATGCTCAAGGAGGAAGAAGAAATACATGGAGCAGGTGTTTGTGGAATCTATCCATTCAAGTAAAATCAAACTCATTGGCATTACTATTGCTCCACCTTATACCCCTTTAAAATTTGCTAGTGGTGGTGTTTTGGGGCAGAGAAGAGAGAAGAAGAAAAAAGAAGACATTCCATCTTTTGCAAGGTAGAGAAGAGAGGAAAAAAGAAAGAAGAAGAAGACATTCGAGCTTTGGCAGGGCAGAGGAGAATAAAAAGATAGAGAGGTAGAAGAAAAAGATGTGAGAAAATGACATGTTTTGAAAATTTAATCAATAGTTATGGACAATGCGGTCCTTTAGGCTGCGTTTAGAATCAGTGTAAACCAAGAATGATGTAAAAGTTTATACAAGATAGGTTTTGTTGGCATTTGGGAGGAGTGTAAGTGAAGATCGATGTAAACTCCACTCCGGTTTAGATTTATTGGTGTTTGGATAGAGTGGAGTTTTACATCATAAATTGATGTAAAACCTCATCAAGCATAAACTTTTACATCGATAATCTATGTAAATACTACATTGATTTTATTGATGTAAATATTTAATATCCTTCTCAATATAAAAATTTATTCTTATCAGATGCCTATAAAACTGAAAGAGAATACAACTTTATTTCGATTCTTTTACACTCCTACCAAACGCAGCATTTAACCAAGCCCAATAAAACAAAGATAATCACAAAGTGATCTGGATTTAAAACAAACGGGCAGCGTGGTGTCCCAGTTCCATCGGGTTTGGGCCGTCTCCAGCATGTCCTGCAACAGCTGATGCGAACTCCAGTAGCCGTGACAAGTTGGTATTTCGCCGGGAGCATAGAATGGGTAGGACACTACTGTTTATAATTGAGCTTTTCTCTTTCAAATATATATTTATTTTTACTTATTTTTTTCTGAGGTTTCAAAATTTACGAGAATTAGATCGGCCTTAATGAGAGAGTGGTTATGTTTACTCAAGAATTTTAAACTACATTAAAGATATTTAATGCCGTTTGGCTACGGTTTTTGAATAAAACAAATTTAAGAAGACAACTCATGCGGTATCAGCACATTGCTGATGAATGGTACCAAACATTAGCTAGAAAACAAGATGAAAATTTTCTCTTGCAAATTAACCTGCAATATTAATAAGTTTTTCCTATGATTCGATACGTTGTGCGCTAGAACTTATTTGACATTAGGGATGGCAAATTTCACTATAAATCCAGGGTTCCACCCTGCCCCGCCCTGAATTGGGGTGGGGAATGGGGAAAACATTTTTTTTCCAAACCGGGGATAGGGCGGGACAGGGTTTGCATATAATTTCCTGAATCCGATGATAAAGTAATAAAATATTCCTATGTTTAATATTAATTTTTAAAATACCTCTAATTTTTTCTTAATTTCCTAAAACCCTAATATCCCATAATTCCATTTTTATAATACTTCTAAATTTCCATAATCCAATTTCTAAATTATCTCAAATTTTTATAATTCTATTTTTAAAATACCTCTAAATTAGGTGTATTTTTAGATGATTCCCCGTCCCTGATGAGAGTGGATGCTCCATCCCAAACCCAGTTGCCATTCTTATATGACACAGTTCTTATTAACAAAAAAACAGATCGTGCTAATGAACTGTTTTCTAATTAATAAACTGTTTAAGACTTTAAATGTGTAGCTCTATTCCTTCAACTCGTGACTTCATGAAAAGGTTGTCTCATAACTCATAACTCATGATGATTCCATTCCAATAGTTCTGCTAATTGCACCAACCTAATTAATTAAAAATGATCAAAAGTATCAGTAGTAAACTAGCTTAAAGACCAAAACAGAAGGTCCAAAACCTTCATGAGTCTCTCTTCCTGTGGTCTTCTTTTGTTTCAGCAGCTTGGCCTGTGCTTCAGTCCTCTTTGTTTCACTTTTCTACTGATTGTATTTGCTTGGTGTGTAATCTGAGCATTAGCATTAATGTATGAATACGCCTTTCTGGCTTAGAAAAAAGAACCAAATAATCAAGAAGCATTAATTCCAACTATAATTAAGCTTGGTAATAAAATCAAGAAGGATAAATTAAAACAAGTACTCGGTATTAATTAATCCTTTTATATGAATTATAAGTATTGTTCTTCTTAAAACTTTTATAGTTGATATATAGGAGGTTTCTTGGAGTTGAGACATGAAATCTTAGTCACTGCAGGCCTAATCATATCTATCTTTCTTGTCCACTTTAATTAGATCTTCTGCTGCTTAAATGTTTGTCAATAATCCACCAAGTTTGTTGATGATAAACATAAATTGTCATTTAGATTCAATTTATAATAGGTATGCAAAGAAAACACTAGAATGAAGTAAATGATGTCTTAATTAATTATGCAAGCGTTTTCTCTTCTTTATATATATATTTCTCAGACAACCCAAGTATATAACACTGTAACTAGTTCTTAGAAATAGCTAGACATTAATTATTAACTAGCAATCTGCTTCAATATGCATTTAGTAATAAATAATATAACTAGAGCTAAACTAACAAAGATAGTTAAGTTCCATCAGGACTCTTTTAGAGCTTCGGCTGTTGCTAGATTTTCACCATTTAAATTTTGATAAATCTAGATAATGCATGCATACAAAAACGATGAACAAATTACACGAAAAAAAAGGAACAATATTGGTATCTATTACCTTGTATGGTCCAGGCCAGTGATCTCTATATAATATATTCTCGTTGACAAGTACCTCAACATCTCACTAAGAATACACAGCATTCATATAGTCAGATCCAGAGTACTTGCCGTTCTTGCATGCTTATTCCTACTATCATCTCCTTCTTTCAACCTGCTAAGCCTTGAGGATGAAGGTGGTGATGGGAACAAAGAAAGAGATAAACTACTACCAACTCCAACATCTTCTGAACTTCTGGGGCACTCATCATGCCTTGAAGCTATCTTTAGAGAGAGATTCAAGTCAAGGTCACAATCTGAAGCCTTTCTCTTTCCTGGGTTTTTCTCTTCAACAGCTATCCTCCAGTTTGTCTCTGGGGTAATGCTATTGTTCAAACGAACCGCTTGCTCCAACCCGCTTCCTCGGAACTGTGTCGTGGGGTTGGGCTTAGTAATTGGACTTGGTCTGAATGTTGGAGTTTGCCATGATTCATGTTGCCTAAACAATGAGAAATCCCCCCGAGTTTCATGGGTCATCTTGATAGAATGTCCAAAAGGAGAACTACCCATTTGAAAATCATCACGATTTGGTGCCTTGCTGCTGTTGAGGCTGAAGTTCCTCGTGGCCACTGAACTGTAAAACCCAGATGGTCGATTTGTAGCTTCTCCTATATAAGGATTACTCATCCAATTGCCATGGTTATTCCATGAAGCCTCTTCATATCTGGATAAATATAAGATGGATATATTTATTATGGGGTCAAGCTTATTACATATTACTAACACAACAGTACTAAAAGGGTGTTCAGGGTGTCAAATTCCATACCTGAAACTGGACGCAGGTCTTTGATTAAACCCTTGCAGCATGGGTAGTTGGCTTAGGTTGTATATGTGGCGATCTGCAGCTTCCACATAATGCCTTTGCTGATCGGTTATCACTGTCCAATTAATCCAAATAAAGAAAGAAAAAAAAAAACAACGTTTATTACTCTCCATAGTCAGCAAGGCTGTAGAACACCGGAAAGATGCAATTCAGGAACCAAACCGAAAATTACAATTTCAAGATTTTCCAGAATACCCATTTGGACATGTATAAAATTCTTACCTTGACCGGCGTCATCTATCTTCTTGCTCCGGTACATCTGACGAAGGAGAAAAGGAAATTAAGGTTATTTAATTGATGAATTTTAAGGCAATAAATGAGTATATATATTTGTGTTTTATGAAATTTGATTATAAAATTACTTGTAGATGACTCTTGACATGAGCGATGGTAAGACCTTTGATGTTCATCAGATTAAGTACTAGCTTAGGCGTGGCTCCTGCACCAAATGAAAGCTATTAATTAGAGATATCAGACGGGGAAATTCTTATGTATATTTAGTAATTAATCGTTGGAGGAGATCGAAGTTAAGACTTAAGAGGGTGGCTGGCCACTTACGATCTTGTCCACCAAGTCTTTCAACAGCGTGAACAAAGCAAAGATGGAGATCAGGCGTCCAACGGAGTCTTGGCATCTTGGAACGGACATACTGTCGGACGGACCCAGTTCCGGCCTTCTTCTCATTCTCCTCAACTGTACTGTTGCTGGAGCTCCCTCCGTTTTTAGGCTTGTCATTGCAGTCTACCTCTTCGTCTTCCTCCTCGTCCTCATGCTTGTCAGAATGATTAGTCTTGGAACCTTCACTGCTATTACTAGTTTCCTTCATCTCTCTCTTTCTTTTTCTTTGCCAGGAATCGTCCTATTTAGTCGTCCCCAGATCGATCTCTCCAGCTATTCTCTTTCTTCTAACATATAAAAGTAGATACCAACAGAATAGCACGGGCATAGCCCAGAAAAACCAGCTATTGAATATGGGAATTGAAACCTTAATCCTTGAGAAGAATTGGRCATAAAAGGACCTGCTGCCTCAGAACCACCAGCTATTGTTGAATGATGACTTGGAAATTAAAACCCTAGCCCTGAAAGTTGAGATTTTGAGACGAAAAAGTACCCTCCCTTTCTCTCTCTAGTAAATATTTAATTATATATGTATAGTTAATTGTATACATGTATGCATGATTAATGGATGTACGTACTGCTTGGGGGTGTGGAACTAAAGATTGGTTCGTGGAAGGAGAGAAAGTTGAAATGCATAGAGAGAGAGAGCATGTGTTGGCTGGGGAGTGAATGAGTGATTGATCACGTTGCTGGCGCATTGATGCCTGCTGGGACCCAAAACTCAGAGAAGTGCCACTGCCTTTTCCAGGGAAAATCACGGATTTGTCCCTTCTCGATCCTCAGAAGTCAGTAACTATTCCCAAGCTCCATCTCCACATGATCAATGGTGGGCCGTGGACGTCCTCTCAGATGTTTTTGTGCTTAATGTATGTCAAGTTATAATGTGGCTTAAGCTCCCAATTCAATCGTAATTAATCCCGGCTTCTAAGAGTTCAAATGGTGGCCCCCCATGCATAAGATAAACCGTTTTCATATGCTTTTTAAGCTAAGGGACCCCACATCAGCAATAAAGTGTCGTTTCAATGAAGGGTTCTGATCAACTGTTTGATGGGTCACTGGTCATTATATTAAGTAGATGCCAAACTGTCAATTTTCTCAGTCTTTAACCTAACTACTTGGAATTATGCCTGAAAAGGTTGGACTTTCCAAGTTTCCAGTGAATCATTATTAATGGTAGAGTTCTTACTCTCACAAAATCACAGACACCCACCCAACATTTATGACTCATCAGCAGCCTCTCTCTCTCTGAAATCAACCCAAGGCTCAGGGTTGCAAAGTTGGAAACTAAAGAGCTTTAGTAGTCTATACTCTATACAGAGAGTATCTTAGATCCAAAATTATCAAAACGAAAATTGAAAGTTAAAAAAAAATTATTAAGAGAATCCGAGGTATAAAATTATTGAAGGCTTGAAAGGAATCCACCAATTATTCTTTATTCTTTTTTCTTGGTATTTTCAATACACACACGTCTAAGTTGAAAAAAAAAAAAGAAAATACTTTAATCAGTATTGATTGGAGTTGGAGGAGATGACTAGTAATAGTGTCCACAAGTACATGACAGGAAGTATAACTTGGTTTCTTAATACTCTTAACTATATATAAGTTCTGCTGTCTTGCTTAAGACAGTGATTGGGGCACATCCCATTTTTGAATTGGGCACCCCTATTGCCTAGGCGATGAATGATGATAAAGATCTGTTTAAAATTAAATAATGGTGTAAATTGATTAATAGGATCCACAGTCACTCCCCCACTTGCTTGCTTAGGCTTGAGGTGTCAAAGAGGTGAGAGTGAAGAGTGAATACTAACGTACACTTTCTCATTTGTTAATGTCAACAATCTGTCAATCAAATTTGGCAGGTATGGGCATCAATAGGCACAGCTTCAGGCGTCCAACAAGGCCCACCTATTTTTCTAGCCATGCTTACTGGTCTCATAACCCGACATTGATCAGACATTTAGTATATAATAATCTAATCCCTATGAATACTGACATTTTATCTCTTTAAAGAGATAAGGGTTTAAGACAACAAACAAGAAGCTGGCCACGGCCCCCCTCAGCTCTATGGATGCCATGGTTTCCATCTTATTAAAAGTCAACTAAACTACTGGATGAATGATGATCATAGGAATCAATGGGCCCACTTCTCTACGGATTATATATATATATATACACATATCACCAATAGCAAATAGCAAATGCTGATCATGGTTGGCCTGCTCAAATCATAAAAATAAATAAATATTTAAAGCATCCACCTTTCTTGATCGAACTGACAATATCCCACTGGTGGTCACTGGTCAGGCTCGGCCACCCGAGCCAATTCATACTTAATGGCTTATTCACTAAAAGACAAATCAGATCACTACTTCAGTCCCTTCAGCCATTAATTATCAAATAATATATAATATGCTGAAATTGCAAGGCTGCCCTTTACATCTGATTACATTTACCAAAATTGGGATGGTCAAGACTCAAAGACTCGAGAAAATCTTCATCCATGGTCATTATCATCCAGTTGAATGGATCTTTTGATGACCCATTGAAGAGGTATCCCCAGAGGACGGACAACATTCCTTCCACGCGTATGGACTATAACGCATTCGTGAGCCATAACAACCCATTAATTAAAGACTCTCCCCCAAAGATTTTCTAACTTTCACATCGTTTCACTCTTTTCTTTCACGGATTTCCCGAGTAAAGAGGCCAGTAGCAGTCCACAAGAAAAGGAAAGTTTTATATTTTAGATCCATCTCTGGTTTATTCTCAAACCCAGTAAATTAAAAGAACATGAACAGCTAAATCTAATACCTTCGAACCTACCCACATTTAATGGTCTATTAAATGGAGACCTTTTTATTATATCCAGACTTAACGAACTTAATCTAACACCAGTTGCAGAGAATTTGTGTCTGGTTTTCTGATTAAAACTAATAAACAAGAAAATAATAATGCCAAGTGTAGTAATAATAATAAATTCTACCAGTTGATAAAGTTGGGCTTTTTTTATATTGGTGGGCTGGTCTTGCCTGTGAAGAATATAAAAGCCCAGGTTGTGTGACAAGATCAAGATTCACTTCCAACCCAACCCCCCAACCTGTAAAGTCAACCCACAACAGTACTTCTCTACTTTTTTTTTTCCTTCTTAATTTTCTTTCTTGTTACTTATTCGTTGCATGAGAGTACGTGAACCTATTAATACGGATCTACCATCGTTTGAGAATAATAAGCATGTCTGTCTTTTTGTATGCATTAATTTGATGACCTTATGCCCATCCATGTGCATGCATGCATGCCATGTCATGCTTTGTCATTTTTACTCCCCTTCTTCTAATGACGAAGTTTCTTAGAATCACAACTGCTACATCAAGTAGGTCATCGGTGAACGCATTTCTAATTTTTTTAAGTTGATAAAAGAAAGTAATTACAATAATAATAATAATAATAATAATAATAATAATAATAATAATAATAATAATAATAATAATAATAATAATAATAATAATAATAATAATATGGATCATTATGCTTTGAAAAAACCGGACTGAACTGGGCAGTAGGATCGATTTCTGTGCAACCGTACCGAATCTGGATCTGCTTCTACAGATTTAATGCTCCTCACACTAACCTCAGAACATATTATTGTTGTGCATTGAGAATATCTTCCCATGAATGATAACATACAAATATTAGAGACGTTTCATCTTTGAAATCGAATGAAACACACATCAAATCTTGACCATGGCATGCAGAGAAGGACCTACTAGCTTAAAAAACCATTACCATAGAAAGTAAAGGTTGGGAAACCGGTGGGAAGATCAGATGGCCATTTCCCCAACTAAAAGTTAAAAACAAATGGGTTGGGTGGTGATGGAATAGTAGTACAGAATTTAAATTAAGTATCAACTTCTTGTTGAGTAGTCATTCACATCAAAACGAATGCACGCTTAGAAGGGAATCAACATATACCATTTTATATTAACGTCAAAGATATCAACTGTCTCCTTCTACCAGAATTTAGATTTCTATGCGCCCCCACATCTGTTACATCTCACCCGTCCCTGCTTAGAATGTGGACCCAGCCCAGAATGGATATTCATCGATAGCTTACACATCTCAAATTCTCTAGCATATATATTCTCATTATTAACACTATTTTATTATAAACTTTGATGTGGTCTTATATATCAAGTCGGACCAGATCAGAATGGGTTAGACCGGTTTAATAAAACAATTAAAACGAATAAGAATAAGGGTGCACCTTGAGCAAGCTAGAATTGAGATTTTGTCATAATTTAAATGGACCCGATCCAAAGCCCGAGCCCAAAATAATGTAAAATATTAACTTGAACCAACCCGAGTTACACCCTTAATTGAGGAAGACAACCCAAATAGAAGGGCAAATAATCACCCGAAATTTTCTCAAATGTTTCAAGACAGCTAACTAATAAATTATATATGACATTTTTTTTTTCTAAGGGTAATGAAGTAAGATTTATTAGCCTTAAGATTTACATGAATGCACACGAAAGGAACAAAGGAAGCCAGATCTAAGACTAATGTTTCAAGGCAGATATTCTTGTATATATCCGGCCATGAATCACTGAAAATGTTTTGAGTGTTTCTTCCTTGGTTTGACAAAGCGGTCATCTGCATGCAATGGAGATTCCGTATTTTGGTATTGATGTCACATTGGTTAATATTAAATTGATTCATTTGTGTATTATATGGAGACCTCTTAGCAACTCCCAATACGTCCCCATCTCCTTTGAGTAATTTTGGGATATTCTAAACTTTAGGGCATCTGTCTAGCTTGTTTATAATATACAAAATTGGTCAATTATTCCACTAGTAAAAGAATTAGAGAATAGGAACTTGTATTACAAGGGTCTTTAGACATATTTATTTAATTGGGTGTACGACACCTAAAACCAGATTAATAATTAGTTTAAAAACAACAACTTGTTTTATGGTAGTAGGACAAAACCCTACCCGAACAGGATATGTACTATATATGGGCTAATGAGGGAGCTTTTTATTTGTCAAAAGAGGAATCATACAAATTAGAAAATCCACTCTCACCAATGTGTCCATGTCAAGGGTATACATTCTAGGGTGGTTTGGTAATTACACCATCTTATATTGACATATGTAAAAAACAATGTTGATAGTTAATTTTACAGTTTTTTCATTTTTTTTTTTGGGTAAAAATCAGGAAGGGCTATATAAGACCAGGGGCAGTTCAGCCCCAAACATTACACAAACAAAATTGAGCAAGATCACTAAGCAAGACAAGGGGATTGAGAGGAAGAATTTCCCATCTATGAGATAAAAACTTCACGCGTCAATCAATCTGTAGCTTGATTTATGTTTCTATAAAAGAATGTCATCTTTAATTCTACAGTTTTATTAGCCAC